AAATTTTAGTAAATTAAGACGTTCTATTTAGTCAGGCTATATTCTCCGACGTGAAAATGAATGAAAACCTACGAAAATATCACGAAATATTTGGAATATAGGGTGAATGAGGGGGGTGGTCGTAATACAATCGACAAAGGACCTTGAGATCCAGTAATAGGTTTCCAGGCTTACTCTATTTAAAGGGGTTTTTCCTTGAAAGTCTCTGCATGTTGCTGCAAGGTGCACAAGAGATTTTTCTGCATTGCTGAAGGAGTATGAATTAGCTGTGGACGTCTCTTGTGAAATAATAACAGGGGAATTGCTATATTAGATTAAAGTATCAATGGCGCCTCGAAAGGGAACCTAATTAACAGTTTGTGGTGACAAGGAAAAGGTCTTGAAAGTTGTTATATTCTTTTCTCAATAGTATTGTTATCTCGCCAAGATCATAATGGAACTAGGGAAATCAATATAGAGAATTACATATTCCATATCAGCTATCAACACAAACAATCCGTTCAAATAGACAATGCAATAATTATTAAAATTTCAACAATACAGCTCAAAGCTATAATATCCTTTTAATAAAATGAACCAAATTCTGGAAGACATGGATCAAATAAATTGTGCTTTTTATGAGGGCTATAGCAGTTTAGTTTTTTATTGAATTTTAGAAATGGGATTTTAATGGTGTGATATACCTTTATCAGGACTTTCTATTTCAACAATTAGCTAGTACGACCCCAGTGGCCAGTCTTCACACATTACCTTTGCACACTCATCGTCATAACCCGGGTTAATCACCCAGTTAAATCGTAAAATTTGACAAGGTCTGATAATTTAGGTTATAAATGCCCTTCAGCTAAATAAAATCTGGTCGGTTTTTAATAAAAAGCTTGACTGAGTCTTACAATTGTTAAATGTGAAACGTTTGCATGTTTTTCGATTTTTCAGAAAGATCTTATCATCATGGTGAATCAAGAAAGACACGGACATGTAGTGTATATGGGACAAATATTAAATGTACGAGAATGTTGTGTAAGAAGATATAATTTGATTGGATAGCAAAGTCTCCAATCAGTAGTCGTGTCATCTTGTCTGCTAAATATATTTCTCATCTACATTGTCGCCATGCTATACTTTAAAAAGTGATGCCGACTTCAGAGAAGTTTGTTTTTTATTAATAACTTCTTTACAACAATCAGTTCCACAATATTAACGTGAAATGCCTGGGATGAAATGGTTTTGGACATTTTCTGTCCTGTTAACGTGTTGGATTTTACCTTTCCTTCACGCTACGGTAAGTTTGTAAGATTTACTGTTACAACACTATCTATAGTATTGCTTACAATGTCAATACTTACTGTCATATATGTCATTACAGTTGAATTTACTCTGTTCTTCAAAAACTCTGACACAATTTGTTTACTTATCTTATTCACTATATTCTTATGAAATGAGGTGTAGAAAAGGTTTTTGGGGCTTCGAAAAAAGTAACCTTTATGCCTAAAACATTATATTTCATATTTTCATTCTCATGCATTTGACAAATGAAATGTTGTTAGATCTAGTCTAGGGCCTAAATAGTAAAATAAATGGCAGAAAATTAAATGTTTACTATGTTTGAAATGTTCTCTTTGTCAATTTTTATTGAATTGATTATAATTGTAAATAATGAATTGTTTGAGTACCGGTATTAGGTTTTAACATCATTAAATGTGCATGTGTCAATGTGTTAAAAGGACTGTTAAGAGGGTTTCTAAATTATTTATGAGCAAAAACATCAATTTGCCCCATTCTAATTTTTAATCAGAGGTCTGTGGCTCCTGAAATTCCACGAAAACTAAGTGTTTGATGATGTCATTTATTAGGGCCTAATCTAATCATGTTATATAAAGCATAGTTTGTGATTTGTGATGAATCAAAGATTTAGTTTTAGTGGAATTTCAGGAACCTCAAACGTCTCACTGATTTAAGAGACAGAGGCACCATTTTATACCAATCATACTTTAGTCTCAGAAACGGGAATTTTCTAGCTAAGCCAATCAGTACCATAATAGTGTTCACAGCTTACCGTCGAAATTTGGGCGTTCAAATCCATGTGTCCAGAATTATTTGTGTTTGAATGTTAAAATAACTACGATACTTGTCAATATAAGGCTCTGTGTGATATGTTATATAGAAAGGGCATAGAAATAGTGAGTAAAATTCCTGAAGTATTTTTTAAGGAATCATGCAAATTCCTAACATTTCTAGTACTTCTGAAGATTATTTACATATATCGGTATTCAAGACTAAAATTATAAGCTAGCATCTACCGTATTCATCCACTTGGCACCTGTGTTTTTAGAGGAGTGTGATTGACATAATACATTGAAGTCCTTTTGTAAGAATTGAATTGAATGAATTAAAGAACAACACTTAAAAAAAACTTTCACAAAGAATTCAATTAAAGAAAGTAAAATTCCCAAGGGAGCTTTTTAAGTAAGAAATTTTAGATTAATTTCCACTTTTCCACTGTGTTAAGAGAAAATATGTTAATAAGTTAAATACTGTTACCGTACTGTAATGAATTACTTGTGCTACAAATGGTGTTAGTCCAGAGTCTTATCTTTTTAAAATGTAAAATACGGTATTCATTTTAAAGTCTCTTATTTTTGTCAGTCATTTGTTTTTATGCTAAATGATTGAAATTTGACCTTCTAAATTAAACTAGCTGTTTGATAATGGACACTGTATTTCAATTGTGTTTGTATCATTTGAATTTCAGGTAAAGAAGCGATCCTTGCCAGTGTTCTCTAGAAATATATTAAAGATTATATCGGAAGAATATTCTAATAGAGAACAATTTCGTGAAATATTAACTCCTCTATTGGTTGAAAGAGTTCCAGATACTCCTGGCAATACTCAAGTACAACGGGTAAATTATTTTAGTTCTTAGGGATATATGCAGTCTGCTAATAGAAGTCAGTCATTGTTACCTGTTGCATTGAAGAATGAAAGTTCAACTTTTTAGTCTCATGTATGATTAAATGAATAATTGATGAGCTACTGAATATTTTTAATAATTTAAATGGAATAGACTGTCAATTATTATTAGTCATAATTTCTTTATAACAGATATATTTTCATGACATGCATGTCATAAGTAACTTTTTTAAGTTTTTCTTTCACACATTGTTTCCACAAAACAAAGTTCATTCATTAGTAATGCCTTGGTCCGTTGAGAAAATAGATTTTATTGTACATCAAGTAGTACATTACTGTTGTATTGTTGATTTGAATTCATTTTGTGAATTACCATATATAGTGAAAAAGTTTCTAAAATCTGTAAGCTTACTACTGGATAGTGTTGGGCAATTTCTATATATTGAATCTCTATTTGCTTTCTTAAATGGCTAAAGTCCTGAAATTCTGTTATGATAAAAACTTCAAAGAAAATTTTAAAGACAAACAATGACTGAACCAGAACATTGGAAAACAAGCATGTTTTTAATGTGCCAATTGCTGAGAAACTAAGGCAAATAATTTCGAACCAGTAGAAAAATTATGAAGATGAACATTACCTATTAAAACTAAAAGATAACTATTTCAAGTCATATTTCGTATAATGATGTGGCACTACAACATTTTTTTATTTTTTTTTTATTGTGATAAAGGTTTAATCAACTAACTCGACAAAAAATATTTGGATAGGTCATTAGATTGCAGACATTTCTAATTAAACCTAGAATTATTTTTTCATCGAATTTACACTCTGATGTGTATGATTGTCAATTCAAATCATAAATTTAATAATAAACTCCTGAAATCGTCCTCCTGATTAAACTAGGGAATACATAAACTTGTCAAGAATGACAAGAAGGTGTCTTGGTGCCAGACAAAGTTTTGAGTTCAGCATAAAGCTTCTCAATCTAGATTGACATTGAATAAGCTTACTTATAGAAATATTGTCAATGTGATACAGAATAATATCCAACAAGCTGACAAAAATATGCGAAGAAAATCTGTTGTTCATTAAAATGGCATGTTTGTATGCATGTTTTTGTTCCTGCAAATGCTTGATTCATTCCAGATTCTGTAATAGTTAACCAAACATTAAACAGGCTACAATCTTTTTACAAGAGTTATGAAGTGATAAATAATTTTGAGTAAGTTTAACAACATCAGGGAATAATTAATAAGTTTGTAATATTTAAAGTTGCTAATCTAATAATTGTTTGTTTTATTATTGTTTTACAAACAAGTGTTTGTCCTTATTTTTATCACAACATATTTTACAAAACTTGGTATACGTATCTATTGATTAAATCTCAGAAGAGATTGATTTTCATAAATTCTTAGACGAAAATATTTTAAAATTATTGCTCTTTGCTTAGCCAATATATGTCAAAATTTCTTATGAACATGATGGAACACAATATGTATAAGCTTATTGTTGAGATTTAGAATGAGCATGATTTTTATACGCCAACATATGTGGATGTATATTGTCGGCGACCCTGTCCGTCCGTCGGTCCATCAACATTTTCTTGTAAACACTCTAAAAACTAGGTTTTTTGATGGAATCAGATGAAATTCAGTATGTGTATACATATTCATAAAACGAAAATCATGTTCGAATTTGAGCTATTTTCGACCGTTAAAAGCAGAGTTATTGCCCTTGCCCCAAAATCTTTAATATGCTATTACTCTCTTAGTTTTCAACCGATTTTGATGAAACTTAAAATGGATGTAATTGGACCTAAATCGAAAGGCTTGAGAAAGTTTAGTTTAATTCTGATTAAATTTAAGGCTTTTTCAAGATTTAGGCCTCCTACGTCAGTTTTGAGGAGTTATCGCCCTTCAACCTCTATACAGTAAGTGATTTTATCAACATCATTTGCTTGTAAACGCTCTAAAAACTAGATTTTTTGATGGAATCAAATGAAATCCATTATTCATAAAATGAAGATCAAGTTCGAATTTGAGCCGATTTTGATGAAACTTAAAATGGATGTTTCGTTTTTACCATCCGCATGCCGTTGTTGGCATTTATGGCTGTGGTCCACTATCTTTATGAATTAAGACTGTCATTTGCTACTGTGTGGGTGTAGCCTATAACCCCTCTTTTTTAAAAAAATATAAAAGATTAATAAAAATATGTATACTGTATGGTGCCACTATTTGTCCCCTGATTATTTTATTTCATATGAATGTATTTTCAGTTTATTGAGGAAAGAATGACAAACCTGGGTTGGACCATAACAAAAGATAGATTTGTTGACACAACACCATATGGAGTGAAACATTTTACCAACATCATAGCTACCTATAATCCTAATTCACCAAACAGATTGGCTTTAGTGTGTCATTTTGATTCTAAACAAGAGAACTATAAATTTGTTGGTGCTACAGATTCAGCTGTACCTTGTGCTATGTTAATAGATTTAGCTACCAATTTAGAATGTCTCCTAGCCAAATCCAGTGCTAATGCTGTAAGTGAAGTCACTTTAGATATTTCATACAGTATTATTTTTTTATACGTCCGCATGAAATGTGGAAAGTATATCGCACTTGCCATGTCCATCCATTGGTCTGTCCACAATTGCTCATAAAAACACTCTAGAAGGTACAATTCTTGACAGATTGACACCTATATATTATATTTCATTATATATTTTTGCTTGTGTAAAGTGTAACTTAAAACGTACAGATCTTGTTGAAAATTTGTGTTTTTTTTTTTAGAATGTACCAGATACAACAATAGAGATGATATTTTTAGATGGTGAAGAAGCATTCCAACGCTGGTCTGATACAGACTCTATATATGGTGCTAGACATTTAGCACAAAAATGGAAATTAACTCCCGATCCACATGATCCTTCCAAAAATATGTTACAGACAATTGTAAGTTCTGAAGATATCTTGGAAATTGAAAAAGGATGCTTGTTGGCACTTTTTCAGATATATTTCATAGCACACTGATTATCATGTACTTTTTACTGCACTATAATTAAAAATATTGCTATGTACAGCTCAAATTTGTTTCATTCTGGGCATGTTGCAGACTAATCCTGATAAGATTTCAAAGTTAAGTTATATTTTTAGACACTACATGTTAACTTGTTCATATCTTTTGTAAATTGTTTATCAGCTGTATGAATCTTCTTATTTCAGACTGATTTTGTGTTGTTAGATTTAATAGGAACCTCTGATGTTCAGTTTAAAAATATGTTTAAAGAAACAAATAGATTATATCAACATTTATATAAAATAGGTTTGTTTTTTCTTTCTTTTCACCATGACAATAACAGTTTATAAAAAATATTTACACATGTCAAACAAAGCAATGGAAAATTAGATATAATCATTGATATTTTAAAGTTTATGTTTAAATAATATCCAGATGTGCATATCTTTACCAGACTATAGATGTGAAAAAACGAGGTTTAGTTTTCATTTTGCACCATAATTGCTTTGTTTTTATCTTTAGAGCTGTTTCTGTTTAGACCTCTAAAATGCCTAAATGATATTTTAGATTTTTGAAATAAGCCAGTTTTGGTAGATATAGCACATGTACTCTTTATTATTTGGCTGTGATGATTTCAATTTCTTGAATTGATACCTTGGTTTATATTTCAGAAAATAAATTGTTAAAATACAATAATTTAGTAAAAACTAATGGTCAGTATAGACCATATTTTATGAACGAAGCACCTCGCAGTCATGGTATACAAGATGATCATATACCATTTTTACATGAAGGTTAGTGTCTGGAATTCTGAATTCTTTGGAGTGAAATGAGTACTTGTCCTTCAATGGATTTTAATTGGTCTTGAGTATATGTAAATAGTCTTTAGAAATACTAAAACTGTACAGAAACCACATAATTCTTTCAGTTCTATCTCAAATTAGAAATCTCACATTCGATTTTTCTATTTATGGCAGAATCTCAAGAAAAGACGAGTAGTTATTTTAAATTCCAAATGCAGATGGTTCTGGACACACATTGATTTAAAGGCTCAAATTTTGACAATGAGCTTATATCTCTATGACATTTAGCTTATCTTAAACAATTCTCAGACTTAAGGTATTATTGGTAAACCTGTCCCTTTAAGATGTGTTTGGCTTCCAGATATTTAATATATAAAGTTGACAGATGCAGGCAGGGTGCCATCGAGTTCTTGAGAGCATTAATTAGTTTAAAAACCACTGAGACTCTATATTCATCATTACTATTTATTACATTCTCTGTTTTCTTTTATTTTTCAGGTGTCAACATTCTTCATTTAATCTCTGTGCCTTTTCCTAGCGTATGGCATCGTGAAACAGATGATCTCCAACACTTAAATTTTACTGCTATTGATAATTTTAACAGAATATTTAGAGTTTTTGTTTCTTCTTATCTACATCTGGAAGCTGATCAGAATTCTTGTAGACGAAAGTAGGAACTGAATCTTTTTAATATTTCATATTCTAACAGCATTATTATTATGCTATGTTTTATTGGTGGAAGAATATTGGGAGTTGTGATATTAGGATCTCAGTGGGAGTTTTGCTAAAAGAAAGGTCAATACTCATTTGAATACGGTTGATAATATGGTTATTTACGTTATTATGAACTACTTATTCTGATTGAAAACATTTGTATGACATTACGTTTTAGATATCTCAAGAACAATTCTATGTACAGTGTTCTACTATCATAAATATTGTCTAAGTTTGGAGAACAATTGGAATCTACTCTCTATTAAAAGAATGATGTGTAGTTATAAAACATATCAGAAACTTTTGTATTATAGATCTGCTTTTAAACATGATCCTCATAGATTTTTTAGTCAGGATTTGCATGATTCAATGGTGCTTGGTTATATCCATTTGTTATCGTATTTTGTCTCATACTGGTAACTCATATTGGATGTGTTATATATGCGTAAAAATATGTTCTTGTTAACCAGTTTTGGCATTCACTATTCTGAAAGTTTTTTGCATTGCACCATCATGTTTTTGTTTCATGTCACTAATTATCACTTTCACTGGATTATGACACATTTTAAATACTACTATAGTTTTTTGTGTAAATAACAGGTAATATAAGTCCCATTTATAATTGTTAATAAAGGTGGATTAAATGTGAGTTGTAACTGGCTCTAATTGTAAGAGTTCTCAGTTATGATCCTAGGTGTATGATTATTTAGATAGGTTTCCTATGGTAAATAGGATCATCTCATCTTTAAGAGTTATCAGATACACATCCGACCTGTAAAATATTAATCCCTCCTTTAAGAGTTGTCAGCTTATATTTGTTACAATTATTTTATATCTGGTAATTAATTGTGATATTACAGGGTTTTCATTTTGTTTTCTTCAGAAAAGATGAATTGTAACACTAGAATGGAATGGTAAGCGTCTAAAAGGTTCTTTCCTTTCATTTGGTTATAGTTTATTTATTTTATTTTTCTTCTGATTAGGAATTGACAATTTGAACATCTCATGATGCTAAACCTATAGTTTGTAATCTGTGTGAACCACCTCTCTGAAAATATCAAAGAACTCCTCAGAAATCAGCGCCTAATGCACTGTACAAGATTTATTTCATCAAACCTGAATGTAAATGATATATTTTCTCTGACTACTTCAGAAAATCAAGAAATATAGAACTATCTTGCTGTTTTTCTTTTTGAAAATACTATAGTTTAAAAGCATATAGATGAATAATAGAAATTGAGACATTATCAAAATCGGGCACCATTTGGCACTGCTCTAATTGAATTATAGAACATTGACTTATAAAAATCACATCAAAAAAGTTTGGTAAAGAAGTGTTTATGGTCAGAAGATCTCCCTTTTTATGGAAAAAAAAGATTTAAAATTTGTTTTGAAGTTATAATTTTTTATCTTTCATTTTCTGCTTTAATCTTTCATTTCTTGTTAATTAATTGTTGACATTTTATAGTTTTGAGTTATTGTGGAGAAATGTGGTATTCAGAATCCATCTACAACTGTATATACTGTAATACTTTTATCTTGGATGTATATAGCATGAATCAAAACACAAGGTTTCTCAAAGTAATTTCAGGTTTTCTTTCTTGCACTTTTTATTTGCAAACTCTGATCTCCTGTACTGAAATTCACTAGAAGTTTCATATTGAAAATCTTAAAGGGATTGTAAAAAGGTTTTCTTAATCAGACATCTGACGTTCCTCCCATTCCACTTAAACTAAGTGTTTTATGTCGTGATGTCTGATCAAAAATTGGAATGGTGCAAATTGATGCTATCAGTGTCAAATTAGAAATGTAGATCCCCGAAACAAATTAGAAATGTAGAAAACCTCTTTACAATCCCTTTTAAATTGTGTGAGCTAAGGATAGCCAGAGGGGATGGAAATTTATGCCACAGATATCAGTCAAACTAATAACCTTACAAAGTTAATTGTTTACGCCAAATATATTTTAAATATGTAAATTATGAAATAAAATTGTTTTGGAGACAATGGGAAATAGCTTATTTTTTTTTTAAATGTCAAGTGATGGCAGTATACAAAACCCTAGAGAAATAACAATCATTGCAATTATTAATTATATTTTAATTGTTTATAAAAATAGGCTTATAATTCTACGTTTATAAGAAATAAACCAGAGATATTGGTTTTTTAAAGCACCTTGGTAAAATCAGTGATATGTACAACTTAACAACGGATTCTAATCTTGAAGATATAATAGGGCAAGACATAATAGATCTGTAGATATAACAATGGACATCTACACTATATTCAGTCTAATTTAGACAGATTATTCTTAATTACATACTAGAGAACCTATTAAAACTGAAACAAGCAAGTCACAGATAAACTCAACCATATACAATACAACATAAAGCATTTAATACATTTCATTTTAGTTTTATGTATTATTTACATACACTTTCTTTAACATAGTTTTAAATAATTTATATTCAACAATAATTTCAGCAATGATCTCTATAAATTCAATTGTACCCTGCTTATGTCAACAGTTGATTCTTGTCAAGGTCAAGTATATTACAAAAAGTAAACTTCATAACAGGGTTGGATTCAAAACATTAATTAAAATTTATTCTACCGGTAACTCTAAAATATAGTGGACTGCTTGTGTTTATGGTTTGAAATTGAATGATCTTATTTTGACAGAAATTGAATCTAATCATATCTCAATATCCTATTATTCAAATAAACACGTTAAGCCCTGTAGACTCTACACATTTTGAATGTGGAGGCTGCAATGTTAGAATGTATAGAGATAGAAGTTTCTCCTCAAGATATATTTCATTAAGGCACTATGATAACTAAAAAAATATATATTTGGCATCTTGATTACTTAAATAAAATCCTATTTACACTATTCTAACACATTATTTACAATATGTACACACTAGTTTAACATTGATTATGCTTCACTTCAAAATATTATAAAAGACAATAAAATAACAATATAGACAACAAAATCACAAACAACAACAAAAATAAATGAAGCATTGTTTAATCATTCCCTATTTTATAATTTCATTGTTTAAGTCAAATCATAGTTAAATCAAAATCATTTAAACACCTGTGACTCAAAACCAGTCTTTTAGTACTATTAAACATATGGCTGTAGTAGCCATCAATAACATTAATATGGTAATTAATATGTGTATCACGAATTGCATCCATATCTTGTTAAAATAATAAAGACCATCACAACCATTGAAAGAGGTTTTAGACTAGAACTAATAATCATGTGGTGCCTATACAAAACTAATAATGTGAAAATTGAACCCTTTCAACAATGAACTAAAGAATATAATTGAAAAGACTATTTTCGTTGTTTTTTATTTGGTGGTGGTTGTTGAGGAGATATTTCACCAACTTCCATATGTTGAGTCTGATGTGATTGAGGAGTTGCTGCTAACTGGATCATCTGAAAGCATTACATTAAGATTTAGATTAATGTAATAGCAGATCATAATTGAATTTTCATATAAACCTTTAATAGTCAAAGACAGCAATAGCTGTAAGTTGAAAGTTGATTTGTCAAAATGCAGATAAAGGGAGATAATAGCATAACCATGTACTATTGTATTGTTTGTATCCATATGCCAGACTTTAAAGACCAGAACATGAAAGAAATCTTGCTTGCACAATCAAGAACTATTTTTGAATGCTGTATATGTCAATACTATAAATACAATGGCTATACTATAAATACAATTGCTATAACAATGATGGGTAACATGTACTACCAAGAGTAGATATCTATCTATCAACAAGTTATAAATACCTGTGCTGAATTGGGTAAAGAAACAGGGACTGGTATAGCTATAATCTGTCCACCACTCACTGAAATAATACAATAATTATTATACTGAGAAAAATTCTACAATGACAACCAAATTTTTTATGAAAAGGATTCACCAAGCACAAAACAATTCTATAATCTCATGATGAAATAGCTCTTATAGTTAATAATTTACCAAAACTGCATAACTATTTATAGAATACAATCCTTTTCTTTTGTATCAAGAATAACCAACTCTAAATATGAAAAATTCCAGGATTCGGTTCAGGTTTAGGTAGGTTACAAGACTTACTGGGTGTAGAATCAGATTGAGCTACAGATAAAGCCGTTGCTGGTTGTTGATAATTAAAGATACGATCTGTTGGTGTAGCATAAACTATTCCTTGAGCTGTTTGATACATTAATATACTTGGTGTTACAGCTGAGTTATTATTACCATTGTTATTATTATTATTATTACTGCTACCTATATAAAAAATATTATAATTAAAATTACATTACAGTGAAAGCTAAACATACTTAATTTGTCAAAAGAACAAATCTATCTACTTTGACTGTTCTCTGCAGATTCTTGGGCTATATTCACATAAAAATGTTATTAGTAGATTTACAAAGACAGAAACCTAGCACCAAGACAACTGCTGCTACCATTCTGTGATTTGTAAACATGATTTACATTCCACATATGATAAGTTTCTTTTTAATCTGATGTCTGTTTAAGGTTAGAGAAGTATGTAAGTTTCAAACCTGCTATTAACGCTGAAGGAGTTGCTAAAGAAACTGACTGAACTGTTGATGTAGATTCAGTGTTAGGAGTACCTTGCCCTGTAGAAAACAAACATAGTGTCAATACAATAACATAGGATTCTCATACTTCAGCATAAATATTTGAAATCTATTTGACACCACTTAATTCTGACACTTGACCGCACAATTGACAAAATAAAACGGACAAAAGTTCCAAAGAAAATCTGTTCTGTGGCAAAATTCTCTTGAGAATAGCTTTCTCTTCAATAATGCATATTAATAATTTAAGATTTGACTAGTTAATTTAACCTGTATTTATTGATAAGACCGGGTTTGATTGTTGTAATCTATATAATGTTTGTGGTTGAGATGTTGATGGTGAAGATGTTGTAATATGACTATTAGGAGTGGGTATTGGTATTACTGATGCCCCTGAAAAACATGATTAATTCTTGTAATTTGTAACCCTTCATTCAACTCAAAATCAGATAATCATAAAATCATTAAACATCATCAAGTTAATAATATAAAGGTAGGAAGCAATTGATTAGGAATGGTAATTCTATCTCAGGAACCTGTCTTTCAATTTCAATTTTATCAACTGCTATCACAGACATCGGACAGAAAATTCTTAACCATGGATAAATTCAAAGATTTCTCTCAGATGACAGATAAATGCAAACAGCATAAAAAAAAAGCTGACCATTAGTGGGTTCAAATAAAATTTAACTTACCAGAGGGAAAGATAATATTGGTATTTTGCATAGACATTGAAGTTTTCGGTGGTGATATTGAGTCCCTATTGGTAGTAGATTGAGATAAGCTACTGATGGATGATGAAGATGATAGCTGATGAGATGAAGACTGTTGTACTGATGATTGTGTTGATGAAGTTATATTGTGATTATTGTCTGTCATTCCTGGAAACATTGATGAATTTCCTTCACCCATCATCTGCTGAAATAAAAATAAAATTTATGAAAAGACACAATATCATCAATGTACAATGTATATATCTTTAAACTGATTTCCTTTTCAATTCTCAATAACTCAATTCAAGAAGATCTCAATGTACCTTAGCATACCATGTTTCACATGAACATATATTTATAATGAAATTCTAGTCATGTTAAAATTTTTACCAAACAATTCATCAGATTTCAATTCTTACCAAAGCCTAGATCAAATTTTAATTAACCTAATTCAATCGAAACATTGCTTAATTGTTATAAATGTAATCATAGATTGTAATTCCTGCAGTTTAGGCAGCTTATGGAATAAAAGTGTAGAGAACACAACAGTATAGCAATTATTGTATTCTGGGCTTATTCAATGGTGATTTGGTTTTAAAAAGATTGGATATAATTTATTTGCCTAGTTTCATTGCTTTGTTTTTAAGCCTGAGGGTTTAAACTGATATATACTATAATGTAAGATTTTGGCAGATTCTGTCTGAATATGGGAAATATCAAATTTCACATCCATTTCTGTCTGTTATAAAATAATCATAAAAGATTGAGGGAATGTTTAATATCAACTACTTATAGACTGGGTATTAATTGATCACATCTGGTTATAATAATTAAAGGCCCTTTTACAAAAGGCCACTATAAAGCTCTGGACCAGGTCGCGATAAAATGTGCCCATTTACATGACGGCAAACTAAAATGGTCTGAGAACTTTTCTTCAGCTACAGTGTAAATGAAAAGCGTTCTCATCACGGTTATCTATGGAACTCTTCTTGAAGAAATTAAAATTAATCCTTGTAGTCACAATGATTTCACTGAATAATGATGAAATTCTGTGAGAAAAGGTGAAAGTCACTTGTGAGGATAGAAAATAGAACCTCAATAACTTTTTTCTTTCCTCAACCTTATTACATTTGTAGATATTTGCAACATATAAGTGTATTAACTTCAGATCTTTTACAAACTAAGACCAACAGTAAATATTACAACTTACAGTGTTCATATCAGAATTGGTAGATAATCAGTAGGCCTATGACCTTGCTCTCAATAATAAGAGGTCAGATAAGGTGATCTATAATTTAGGATAGCCTATGCAATGACATGTTTTAATATTCTGGGATGTTTATTCCAATACCAATAATATTATCAAATGCTCTAGAGACAACTGAAATTTATTTTTGCTCTGTTCTAATCAAGAGAGGCCAAGTGACAAAGAAATTATTTGCTGTGGCCTCACTATAATGGTTCATTTGATTTATCTATGTCTATAAGTTAGAGTACCTATCTTCTTATCTCTCATCACTTTACCAACAGATACCCCTTACATAGTAACCTCCTGTTTCTAATTAACTATTTCTCTATTATCAACAAAATCTTTCACTCTACTCACACATACAATTAAATATTAGTCAGTCTGCAGCAACATTAAATAAACCTTCAAATATTCAGCTGTTAAAGTGTAAGTAAAAGCCTGCTAACTGCAAAACCAATTACTTTCTTTTTTTCATACATATCTTCAATTCAATGACTAAAGCACATATTACATAGATTGATGTAGCTCTCAGATAAATCTTGCATACAATTTTTTAATAGAGAATAAATGAATCATTTAAGTACATTCTAGTAAGAAAACATTTGAATCAGCTGAGCTGAGTAAGTCAATTTGACTAATTTGGGGAATTTGTGAAGTAAACCCAAAACTTGATATTTACTTATAAACCAGTTTGAGTGCTAGTGGAGTCTACTTAAAAACCATATAACAGTAAACATGAAAGTTATGAATCACCAGCATGTCGAGCATGGCCTAAAACTCTACTGTACAGTAGATGAAAGTACACTAATAATATTGGACCTATTTCTGTGGTTTCTCATTTTGTAGCCAGAACCAGGTATACTGTTTAACATATCTAACATATATAGCAGATGTACCTTTAAACTAGATAAATATGGATCTTATTACCAAAAGGTCAAAGGAACAGGCACACCATATATGGCAAGGCAGACCTTATGTATCTAGCCTGTGAGTCTTTATATTTGTTTTACTCATCTTTAGGTGAATGTTCTTGGCCAACATCCCAACTATTCCTTGACATACATTCTACCATGATAGTAAATATATAGACCAGTTTTATAGACAGTGTGAAATCATAGTAAAATGTGAATCAATGATTTTTTTGTCTGTTTGATTCATAATTGTATTTCACTGATTTCCACTACAAAACTCATTTAACATCTATAAATATTGTTTTGGAAAATATGCCAGTATTTTGTTTACAAATTGATACAAAACCTTTCAAAACAAATACAAAACAAAACTTTCAAACATTGAACTTATGTTTCAACATGATTACTATTCCATGCAGGAAGTACTTCTAATATTAACTGTTTAACCATCAAAGAAGGGAGCCAATTAATAACTAAAAAAGAAATGTTCTTTTCTGCACCATGTGGGCTAATGAAAACGGAATTCTGTTAATAAAATGCCCTCCTGTCCAACCAAAGGAACTGCACATTATCCCTCTTATATTCCAAATGCAGCACAGCAACTATTATTATAACTAGAATATTCAATTTCAAGCTATTTGAATTAATCAATTCACAATAGGCCTACTGAGTTATGCAAAAAAATATATAATCATTTTAGATTTGATCACATTTAATACCTTTTCTGAAATTTATTTTATGACATTTATTTTATGAAAATAATTGTTGACTTATATTTCAGGTGAAAATTCAACTTTATTCCATTTGTATCATAATGTCTTTGGGCCCAATATATGGTTTAGTGATTTTACATAAGGAATAGCACACTTCCCTCCAAGAAAATTCCTCTCTATTAAATCATGTTTACAAATGATAATTTTTCCAGAAAATTCAGAAAACCGTGTAGTCAGAGAGTAGGTAAGGATTTTACCTTAAAACCAGGCTATCAAATTTGTTTCATCTGATTTGGTATTTTGAATCTGCTAGTCCCAGCAGATTTTTTTATTGTAAATCACGAAGTGTTAGTCAACAAGGTCAATAACTAAAACAAACTTCATTGAACATTTGCAAATAAGAAACTCGATTGAGATCTAGCCAAATGTATTTGCATACAAATTTCATCACAATCAAATCAAAATTGTAGCCTCTTTCAAATTCACAAGCCAAGGGCATCACCTCAATGGTGGCCTACAGGGGAGACTTAGAAATATATTGTCTCATGTCAGTATATAAAAATTATGGGTTTTCAGAATGAAGGAAGATAGACGGACAAATCTTACCTTCCCATCTTCATCACCAATGCCATATGTTAATTCTGTCTCCTCAAAACCAGACGGATTCATTCGTTGTTCCATTGACATTTGTGATCCTGGTGGTGCCTCAGGAGAATTCAAACATGTCTGAATTAATGCTTTGCCACTTTCAGAAGTTATCATTGGTTGTAGTTTTCGTGTAGCAAAAGTATAAACATGTCCTGTCTCACTTGCTACCAATAACATCACTTGAGTTCCAGTCAAAGTTGACAATTCATATGCCTGCAAGTGAAATAAAAACTTAATTAGTCAAAATAGATCAGTTACTTTTACACAAATATATTTTGGTATAGTGATGTTTCTATGAGGGATCGGCTTGGTTTTGGCCACCCACTTTCAAAATTTGTATCAATTTACATAAAAAAGTAAAAGAATAGCCCAAGCTCGGGCCCCCTCAATTAATTTTTCCTAGAAACGCCACTGCCTTCATTAATCCAGTTTGACCAAATATTTTCATGTTGTTATGACAATGCATTTTAAAAATGAGAAAAACATACTTGAACTTGTATATTTATATTCACTTCAATCTTATCCACAAATGTTACACTTCATTAAATTTAAAATCAATCAGATTTGTATTGTAAACTATCATAACAATTGACATACCTTTTTCATAATGCCAGTTTTCCTTTTACTAAAAGTTGTGTATCTTCTTAATTTATTTTCAATAAATTCCATTTTAATCTTCACCCTGCCTTTAGTTTTCTTGCCTGGCTTGGGGCCATTACCCCCAGTTGCCATCTTACCGTACATCCCTCCCATTCCTGGAACTCCATCGTCCGAATCTGAGTCCTCGTCAGCAAGTTGTGAGGGATCAACAATGTGTTCCAAGATGTATTTATTTCCATTCGCTCCAGTTGCTGTGACAAATCCACCACGATCATTTAATCGATTTCCATTCAAACTATCAGTTCCAATGTGTTGGCTGTTAGTATTGCCTGATGTTATATCGATAATTTGTGGATTCTGCATCGTGTTTCGCCAAAGGAATAATTTACACCAATCTCACTACCTTATTCACACAGTCGCCATAAACGGCAATGTTGCCTATTTACTTCTTGTGCACAGTTGCAAAGAGCAAATAGTTCTCAAAATTATCTGCGTGAAAACAGATTGAAGCAGAATGTTTTTGTTGATAAAAATCATCTGATTGTTGTATTATTTTATAGTAGTCAATAAATAAACAATTTAAAACAATGTTGCACTTTGTATAAATTAAGGTATGAATACAAAAAGTAGTGATATTTAGAAAAGAGGTATGTCGTGGACGGGCACCTGCTAACAGCCAATCAAATTCTACTAGAGACATAAGACTACCATCTGATTGGCTAATGACGACAGAACGGGGATACCATATATGGCTAACACGGACATATAAAGAAAGTTGATAAATATCAATGATATTGACAATACACACGAGTATTTATCAACAATGTCAACAAGAGACTGTTTCATTGACACGATCATAATTTCTTGAATGGGAATCTCATTAGGTACGCGTCAACAAGTAATCAGAAGACAAAACACAAAATAATGTTCATTATAACACATTACGGGCTAGGAATTATCTCGTCGAACGATGAAATACACGATTAATTGTATATTTGTGTTTTGAATTGAAAGATGGCTTCAGGCATTACATTACATAGATAGTTAGCTCATATTTATATATGAAATTTTAGAAATTCTTATTTCTTCCAATAATTTGTAGGCCTATATAGCATCCAGGGGAATGATTGATTTACAATAATCTCTATTTCACTATTAATTTTAGTGGAGCCCTATTCAATAGACTTGGATTCAAATGGTGAAAGCTGGACCAGACACCTTCAGGACCATTATGTCCACCACTTGTAAATAGACTCATTGCATTTTTTATCTGTAACTAATAATTGTGATCCTCGATTGGCTGTCAATTAAAATGTTAGGGCCAAGAGACAGTATTGTAAATATTTAATCATCTTTATTTGAGAGAAAAAAAAACATAAATAAACTCTTATTTACAAAATATTTGAATAAATAATAAAACAGATCCATCCTCAATAAGCAAACATAAATTCTATGTGATTCTATTTTCAACAGATGTTCATGATTTTTACATAAATTTACTTAAATAACCCTCCACACCCTGAGATTAAGTTTGATTCGATAGGAACATTGAAGAAAATATTAAGACATTACAAAGCAAAGGAATTTAATAATATTAAAAACACAGTGTTAATAATTAGATTTAGATTTAGGTTTCATAGACTGAAGTGACATGGCCTTGTCTTACACTTGATTTTATCTTGGTTTGAAGAATAAGGCCCAAGATTCTTTATTCTGGAAAATTCGGCTGATTTAAATGTGAGGGTAAGTCATATTGTTCAACAAGCATAAATTTACTTTTAACTGTCCAAATCATTACTTAATATATATTCTAAAGACATGATTCAGATACAATCATTCACTCACCATTCAAATAACTGTATCAAGGGACATAACTCGAATTATTACACAATTCACAAATTTCAAATCATTAAAAATATCATAATCATATAAACAGAGGGTTTTCTTATTTCACATTTAAAATCTTGTTCAACTTGGCCTCCTCTACCATATAGGTATTGAAAACAAAAAATATACAAAATGTATAAAACAGTGAATGGCACACACAGTTAATATTTTTCATATTCATCTTTATTTGGACCTGAAGTAGAAACTGGAAATGGAGTCATTGAAATATCATTATCAACATTGATACTGGATAACTGACTATTTTTTTCTTCATATTTTTCTCCTCTTGTCTTCTTTTCATTTTCCTCCTGAAATTATACATAAAAGGTTTTCCAAATTGCCAAAGGCGTTCAATAGCATATATATTCTCTGTAAAAATTATTACAATCACAAAGTAAAACACAACAGTTGATGAATATAATTTCTCAAGCTTTGGATGTTTTCCATTCAAATCTTACACTGAATGATGTCGGTTCTTATAATTCTAATCTTCCTATTATAAATTTAAGTTTTATGGATACCATTTAAACACCATTTTAGCTGACATTATTAATTAGGTCTTTACATGTTCTTTGTGTTAGTTGGTCATGCCCTATGATCAGTTTATAATAATTGATACTAAAAATTATGACTTCTCTTTACATGTATTAAATATAAGGCAATATAAGAATAAGCTTATTTTATCAGTGGTCATGAGTGACCAAGTAATTCATTATTCTTCTATATACCAAAATCATCTATCAATTCATAAATAATATCAATAAGTAAATTTACCTCATCTTTTAATCTATAATACTCATCAATAGCATGTTGATATTTAGGTGATGTTATTCCAAAAAACCAGGCCAATTTCTCTCCACAGAAGTCAGCAGCTAGAAAGAAAGGGTTATCATACAGAATTGGTTATAGCAATATGATATTTCTATTCAAATTCACGTCTGAAATTGACGAGCTTCAAAGATAAGAATTAAAACAAACATTTACATTTTTTTTATTTTCTGCATTGAAGTTACATGAAAAGATTCATTATCAATCTTTTATATTGTTCAGAATCAAACCGCATGGAATAATCATTTATAAAGTCATATTAAAATCTCAAAATATAATTCATAAATTTCAATCAACTTCTTATGAACTTGACAGGAGTTAACTTACCTCCTAGAGCAGTAACAGCACTAACCACAATATAATGCCAAAACCATGGCACCCATTTTAATGTTTTCTAAATTAAAATATAAATTATTACAAATTATACTGATACCATATTAATTTCAAAGCATATAAATATATATAAATATAAACAAATTCATATTTCTTATTCTATTTCATATTTAAAACATGTGATGGCAGCAACAGACAGAGGGTTTTGCTCTCTCTTTGAGTACCGAATTGGTAATAAAAAATCCAAGTGCTATGACTCCATTTCATCCAGTTAATTTATACTTACTGGATCTACTGACGGTTTTTCTGGTAATTTTTCTTCTTCTTCATCTGTAGAATATTCTTCTAATACTCCATCACTAAAATGTATTATTCTTCTTGGTATTTTTTTCTGTTTTGGTCCACCTTCTAAGGACACATTTGTAAACTCTGGTCCCTTAATAGATATACATCATCACTTTAATCAAGGCTACACAAGGGCTCATTATAAAAAAAACATAAAAGTATTAATTTCAGATTCATAAGCCAACAACTTTAAAATGACAGGGACTTACTTTGATGCTGATATTCAAAATCTCATTAAAAAAATAATTGAAATGAGCAAAATTCATTACAGTGAAAAGAAATAAATAAGTGGCAAAAGATTTAGTTTCTGAATCTAACAACTAGCAATAACAATATAATAACTAATAATGGTAATATAATATATCTATAGACAGAAGTCGTATTCATTCAAATCAATATTAAAGGCCATGATTTGCCTTTTTGGTTTGCCTATTTAGGGGCTGATTTGGGTCTTCAATGTATTTTAAAAGTCTTCAGGAGTACTAGAAATGTACAAAATCAAATAATCCCTTCGCATATAGTCTCAACTACTACAAATGTCTTTTCTATCTATGGTGGTGTCTCAAGAAAAGACATAGATAATTCTAGACAAACATGTGGTTTAAAGGTTCAAATTTTGACGGTGAACTTAGCTTTTTAGCTTAGCTAAAAATTCTGTTCCTATCCCTTTAATCTTTTAATTCTTAGTCCATTGCATACAACTGTCTGACTACATTGAGCTTTGAATTGAAATTTTCTCTTATTTCATTACATTCAAAATAAAATTTTCAACTTAATGCCATTTGTCTTAGAATGTCATCATGTCTATAGAGATATAAGGTGATGTTATTCCAAAAGACCAGTGATTTTACATTTAAAAAGGACGCACTTCCCTCGCAGAAAATTCAGCTGAGAATTCATTTGTAAAATCATGTTTACAAATTATAACTTTTCCAGTGGTTCACATTTTCATCAAGTCAAAGGCAATCCAAGACACTCAGTAGTACTTTGTAATTGATATTTCAATTCATAAGAAAATGATTGCCAAAATTCAATTCAGAAAACATTGTAGTTAGAGAGGTAGGCCTATCCAGCTATATTCATAGTGTAGTAACTTGTAAGATACGGATAAGTATAAAATTCATTGCGGACTACAGAAGGTTAATATCATCAATCTAATAACTACAATATGTTTCAACCAATGAATAAAGTGTCGAAAAACATTATCTAGTTTCAAATAGTAGAAGAGAATCAATACAAAGGCCTACAGAGATGTTTGTTAGTTTATCTATCTGAGAATCTGTTTCCTTTGACGCCATTGTTGTTGTTGTTGTTCTAGGGTTGTCTTCCCTTGCTGGCTTCACTAATTGCCAGAATGACCACAAATAGTAAAAACATACAAAAAAACTGAATCATTGTAGACTTCATACTAATTGTATTTAGTAATGTTACTAAGCCACATACCTAGGGTACTACTACTGAGACACTTGGAATACCAGTATGTTACTGTGTCACCTGAAATATCCGGGAAATATGACCATGTCACTGGGGTGTTGTTACTGTGACACTAGTAATGCAAGGATATTGTGACACTGGGAATGCCAGAATGTTGTTACTGTGACACTAGTAATACCAAAGTGTTGTTACCGTGACATTGGTAATACCAGGGTGTTGTTACCAGGGTGTTGTTACTGTGACATTGGTAAAATCAAAGTGTTTTTACTGTGACACAATACCGGGTTATTGTTAATGTGACACTGGTATTGGGTAATCCAGGGTGTTGGACTGTGACGCTGGTAATACCAGGGTGTCGTTACTGTGGCACTGGTAATCACGGGTGTTGTTACTGCGACACTGCAAAATTCGAACAAATTCTCAATTGAAGATGAAATCAGTCTCTATCATACCTCTCTGGTCACAATTATCTGAGATATGGCCATTTGAAGATGGGTGTGAGTCGGCCACCTGCAGCGACCAGCCTATTTAAATCCTTTACAGTCTCGCTGCACAGGTTGATGTTAAGACCAAAACTTTGACAGGTTGCCTTTCGAAAACTATCAGAGATATAATTTTGCACTGAATATTCACACCCATTTAAAGTTGTTCCAATTTTCAAGCTCCTGTCTAGCAAACTGTATCTGCTACAGCACTTTTAGATTCGGTCTTTTTCCGTAACCAAAAAATAAGCGACTTTCCTCTTGAAATTAAGGGTGAAACTTCATAGTCGATTTTCTAGAAAGTTTGAAAAAAATTCCAAATACATGTATCTGATTTCGATTGAAATAAACGTAAGACATGTTCAACTTTCATTTGATACAAAAATCATACTTCTCGGTTCTTAATTGGCCAAGTTATGGCCATTTGAAGATGGGGGTGTGGGTTGACCACCAGATACTTGTTGGGGTTAAGACCAAAACTTGGACAGACTGCCGTTCGAAAACCATCGGATGTTAAGTTTCAATTTGTTCTCGAATTATTCATACGGATGTTTGCACCTCTCGGGTGAAAATTTGCCGCGTTATGGCTATTTGGAGACGGGGGTGAATTGAATTTCCCAGAAATGTGGAACTGAAGTGAATTTGGAGGTGAATTATACACAAAGGGGAATTTTGAGAATTGGGGGAAATCGATTATCAGTTCTAAAAATGGAATCACCGATGACTGAGCTGATGTTGTACTAGACCAGTCGTAGTTCTAGGCTATTATAATAGTTACTGGATCACTGGTATTTACTAGGCTGTTGTTACTGGATCAATGGTAGTAGTGCAAGGGTATTATTACTAGGCCAGTGGTAGTTCTAGGCTATTGTTACTGGATCACTGGTAGTTACTAGACCAGTTGTAGTACTAGACTATTGTTACTGAATCACCGGTACTTACTGGACTGTTGCTACTGGATCACTGGTAGTTACTAGACCAGTGGTAGTACTAGACTGTTGTTACTGAATCACTGGTAGTTACTAGACTGTTGCTACTGGATCACTGGTAGTTACTAGACCAGTCGTAGTACTAGACTGTTGTTACCGAATCACTGGTAGTTACTAAACCAGTCGTAGTACTAGACTTATTTGTTACTGGATCACTGGTAGTTAATAGACCAGTCGTAGTACTAGACTGTTGCTACTGGATCACTGGTAATTACTAGGCTGTTGTTACTGAATCACTGGTAGTAACTAGACCAGTCGTAGTACTAGACTGTTGTTACTGAATCACTGGTAGTAACTTGACCAGTCTTAGTACTAGACTGTTGTTACTGAATCACTGGTAGTTACTAGACTGTTGTTACTGAATCACTGGTAGTTACTAGACTGTTGTTACTGAATCACTGGTAGTTACTAGGCTGTTGTTACTGAATCGCAGGTAGTACAAGGCTATTGTTTCCTAGGCAACTGGTAGTAACAGACAATTGTTACTGGTATTTTACCCCCTGGGGAAGAGTTTGAGATTCAAAATATGGAGCTCATAGGGGCAAGTCTCTCATGGGCAGAGAATTCTCACCCAAGAAAATTAGAATTGATCAGCTGTATTCTCAAGCTTACAATCCAATCAAATCATTGCATTACCATTTCTGAGACCCAAGGTAGATTGGTAGTACAGATGGTGAAACTGGCCCTTTAATATTGGTTATATGCATATGAGTATATAGAGGTTATCAGTTCACAGTAGGTCTTGTGTTTATCAAATACAACATACAATTTCCAACAGTCAAGTCAGTGTGTACTCCAGCACGAAAAAAAAACAAAGAGTCAAGTTAAGTAAAATATTTAATATTTTCCAGATTCGTGTTATAACAATTATATTCTCACATAAATCAAAGCAAAAGTTTAAAATAAAATAAGTAGAATGAGACAGTATGTTATGTAATAATGTCTTGTAAAAATTATTGGTAGGCTAATATTTAATCTATACATAAATTGCTTTTAGTCACTGTCATTAAAGTTACTTAAAACATTAATTTCTTACAATTATTCACATGAAAATTCAATCTATGCTTAAGAGAAAAAGCCCACTTACAGGTGTGGTCTCTGTTTCCATTCTTTTTTAATATCCCAAAAGTGAATATTGAACAAAACAAATTTAAAAGATGATTAAAAATACTATAGAATTTAAAATCATAAATTTTAAAACAAACAAAAAATAATACTACAGAAGGACGGATGATAAAAATAAAGTCTTTGTATTTGAAAAAGACATAAATATAATAACTATCTATATGAAGATCATTCAGCCTCAAATAATTCAATAATTAAAATACAAAAGTATAAGAGATATTTACAATTTTGTTCATTATCATATAATACAGTAAATACAATTTAAATAAAATAAACAATCTATTAATTACAAGTTATATACAATGTAAATCTTTAGTTATATTTGTCTTACCAACACAAGATCGGCTTGGCACTATTAGTATTTATTAAAAACAAATATCACAGCTTTGCTTTCATTTGATTCATAAATTCTTTAAGTTATTTCCACTTTGCATAATTTACACTTTCCTTGACATTAGCTCTAACAGAAGGAAAGTTTTTTAAAAAACAATAAGAGCTTGTAACAAGCAGTGTGAAATATATGCCATTGGTGAATTAATTACTATATAAATAATGCTGAGGATATATAAAATTTCAGCACTTTGTCATTTTCTGTATAAAAACACTCTCTGAATGCATTGGAAATTTTCCGGAACCAGGAATATAACTTCTCCTGGAATTATGCCTAGAAAGTCACCATTTACCACTTGAAAATAGTTCATCGTTTATCACTGGGTTTCTTGTTTCGTCTCTCAGTTATTTTTCTCCTGGCTATTCTGGCCTTGATATCTCTAGCATTAACAGGTCTGGTAGTCACAAGACTAGATGATGTCGTGGAATCTGTCAATGATTCTAAATCAGCAGAATATATAGAGGATGGTGTACTAGGTCTTGGAGGAAATGTTCGTGTCATACCACTATAGGTTGAATTAAGTTTACTTCTTGGAGAATGAACTGAACGTTCACTTCTAGCAAGTATATCCTTAGCATAAGCAGCATATGAAGAAGCTGAACTTACATCAGATCCCATAGGTGAAGCACATCTACAAAATAAAGCAAAATATCCTAAGCATATCAGAATAATTCAGGTTAATAAACTTTTTACGCAATATCAGAATGATGCAAAAAGATGCTATAAATGGCCCCGATACACATTATAAAGCTAAACCTTTTAATCACCTCTTCAATATTTTGAGGATTTTAATATTTTCTACAAATTTAAATAACTAAATGTAAAATATACCAAATTTCCTTACATATTTTTTTGTACATTAAGTGTTCAAAATCTTACCTAACAGAAGAAGGATTTCCATAGAGTGAAGTCTTTTGAATAGTACGTAATTGTTCAATATCCTTATCTATATCCATTTTAGTGATACCATGATTAGGTGATTGTGGAGAATATTCTCTTACTTCTGCTGGGTGTCTTACTACAGGACTGGAAATAAAACAGAAATATCAATAGCTTTAGAACTTTCTTAAAGAGATATTCAACAAAATCATACGTTTTTTACTGATAGTACCGATGCCATAAAATACTCTAACATGTCTGCCTGTAAAGATGACAATAACACCCTGGAAGTTACAACATAATAAACTTTGACTGAAGCAGAATTAAAAGAATGCTGAGATAAATTAAAGCAATGTTATTAAAGAAAACATTAAAAATCCACCATAAATGGCAAATTACAAAATTGCTCTTAAAGTGTGTACATACCTTGATGTTCTTAAAGGAACATCTGCCAAGTGTCTGGATTGATGTAAAAATAAGTGAGCTCTCGAAATTTCTTGAAGGTTACGACTTCTAACAGCAGCTGATTCTTGTAGAAGCTTAGATGGATCCAGTTGATTAGCCATATAATCTTGATATGGTAGACTGATGTATGCTAAATGATCAGTAGACTGAGTATTGGATGATGTTGGAGTCCTTATAGTAGGTGCCAACCTGCTTGATGAACCAGTTTGAAATCCAGGGGTTGGTGATACTCTAGTGCTACCAGAAAAGCTGACATCAGGGCTGTAAAGTGATGGAAAAGGATCTACAATATTTCCATAAGGATTATTTCCCAGGCTCATTGATCTTGGTGAAGGAGATGGACTATACAGAGAGTAAAAATCAGGACTGTATGATCTGTCAGAGTATCTGGGAGACACAGATCTCCTTCTTAGTTCACTCAATTCTTCTTCAGATGACTCTACAATGTTTCTTCTTAAACCAACTAAATGATCTATTCTCTGTCTTGGAGTGAGATAACCAGGTTCAAATGATGAGGATGAAGTGGCTGGAGAAGCTGGTGATGTTTGTCTAGAATTAGAGAGTTTAGTCTTCTCATATCTCTCTTGTTCTAACTGTCTCTCTAGTTTGAAAGCTTCTATTTGAGAATTCCTTTTCAATTGAATCAAATCAGTTGTTCTGGATCTCCTTCTTCCACGACCTTTAGAAACCTTTCTTTCCATTTCCTCTTTAAAAACATCATAATACCGCTTAGATTTTTTCAGCTCTGTACGGTATTTATTAATATATTCTTTTGAAATTTCTGTAATGTTTTGAGCTGGTGGCTGAGGTCTTGATAAAAAATCATCATCCCACGTTTCATCTACTGATTGTAATAAAGCATCAGTTTGACCAATACAGTGATTCAACTTAGCTTCTAAGAGTTCCACAGTTAAACTAGCTGGTAGATAGTTCAGGTTTAACAGGTCAATAATTTCAATTCTTTCTTGTTGCAGTTTATCAAGTTGATCTTGAAGACACTCTGATTTATTGTTACTCTCTTGACTGGTTGGTTGATCTGGGCTTACAGCTGTAGTTACAAAATACCTCTTGTTATCATCTCCAATAGGAACATAAACTAAGGAGTCACTGTGATCTCTTTTAGATCTGCTGGAAGATGATCCATTTGGTTGAGAAGATGTACTATTTTGATTGGTATAACTGTAATCTAAGCTTTCCAAATCAATATTCAGACGAAGGTCCTCAATATCATCATTAACATCTCTATTGTTTATGGTAGTTGTTGTAGTGGTAGTTGTTGAAAAAAGATTATCAAAAGTATCTTCTTCTCTTCTTCGTGAACAATGTGATTCCTGCTTGGAAGCTAATTTCTCAATAACAGTAACAGGTGAAACACTTCCTGATGAGTCTGATGTTATAGATTTCTGTTTAACAAAAAGATCTAATTGAGAGGGTCTTGTTGGTTTTTGTTTAGAGCGCTCCAATAAGGCCATCATTTTAGTATGCTCCTTTCTCAAATCAGCTATTTCTGCAAGGATAGTTGTATTTGTTGGACCATCTGTAAAAGATTGAGTTTGGTAATCTTGATCAGTCTGTATCAAAGTATTTCTTCTTGTTGTTACAGGACTCACTATTGGTGAAATTGCTGGAGTTGTTTGTGTTTCAGTGTTAGATGTATTTAGCATGTCTTTTTCTATTTCTGAATCAGTGGTTTGAGTAAAACTGCTTACTTTAGTAGTTGACTCTCCTGATTCTATAGTTTGTTTTATAACTGTTTGATTTACAGTCAGTAAGTCACTATTGGTACATCCAGAGAAGTTTTGTATTGTACTGGTACTATGTAAGTTTGATGATATATCTCTAAATGAGGTAGGAGGTGAGTAAACATTAGCATCAGTAATAAATCCAGATTCATCAGAAAGATCAGCAGATGTTATATCGAGATGATCATGTTGGTATTCCTGCCAGTCTAGATGCTGGTTATAGAGCTGGTTATGATCATCTGTTTGTGTCAACCTATTTACAAGAATAACTCTTCCTTGATTATTGCCATCCAATCCAGTATTGATTTCCATTTGAAATACTGATTGTAATTCTTGCTTATGAATTCGATTTTTGGTTTCACCTCCAGGTTTGGACGTTACATTTTCTAATTGTGTTTTTGACAAACATGAGTTACCAAACTGTCCTGTTACAGTTTTTCGCAATCTGGGAGATACATTTTGTTTCGAAAACATCAATGGTAGAAACTCTTCTTCTACGCCTCTTTCATCTTCACCATCAATAATGTCATCAGTGCTACAAGAAGGAGGAAATGGTTCTATTTCAGGTTCTTCAATTTGGACAACATCCAATAAACTGGTGGAGTAAGATCTTCTCAGTTCTTTATTACCTTGTGTTGATAAATTATCACAAGATGCTGATCTTTCACTTCTGTCATCATTCATACTAGATAACTGTCTTCTAGTTAGATGGTTGTTCTCAAATTGATGACTGATGATGGCTAGATGACCTTCTGATTGTCCTCTACGACTTGATGTTTGGGGTGATGAAGACGATGGTGATTTGTTTAGATGTGGATTGGAATGAGTAACATCTGATTTTTCTTCTGAATTGCCAACAAATACGAAGGTAATACTGTCATTAGAAGATGCTGTTGATGGTACTGGACTGTCCAAAATATCTACACATCCAGTTGAATGAGCTTTTTCAAAATCTTTAACAACTGGTTCACCATGTTCCAAATCTGACATTGATGGAGATTTATGTCTTATTCTTCTTTTACTTTCAAGTAGATCCACATGACAATTTACTCCTTGGTCAACAGAATTCCTCTTTCGATGGTCTTCTTCTGAACTGTGGATATTACCAAGATAAAAATCTAACTGATCTGCTGATAAAGGACTATTTGGAGAATCAATTGAACTCTTAGCTCTTGATAGTTTACATTCATCCAAAAGAATATTGAACTGGTTGGTTCTAGAAGCAGCAGATACAACTAAGTCTTGTTCTGTATTAGATTCATCTAAGCTCCTACACTGAATATCACCCCAAGAAATATATCTCTGACTTTTATCATTTGATAAATTGGAGTCTTTGTTTGATGGTAGATAATAATTATCTGATGAAGATTGACGACTGAGAGATTCATCAAAATCAGCTTTTAACATTCTTAAAATTTCTGTTCCAGATAATTCTGATAGGTCACCTAATGATCTCCACTTCCTACCATAGAGTCTTGCTGGCCGTTTGCTATCCAAAATATTAGCTAAATTGTCAGCTGGTGGACTTGCCATTAGTGAACGACATTCCATCATAGCATTGGCTACTTGGTTTGGTATATTGGTGTACTCCATTGACCTATGCATAGTATGATCTATAAGATTTTGTGGTGGAGCATTATCTAAATATACACTAATCTCTTGTAAAGATCTGTCTAATTCCTTCCTGCTAACATAACCAGAACCACATCCAGATGATCTTCTTGAGATTCTGTTGGCAATTTGTCTAAATGATCCAGATCTTTCTAAATCTGTGAAATCAGAACTTATGGCTGAATCACTCAAACTTTTACATCGACTCTGTAATTTGGCAATGCGTCTGGCTAACTCCCATTTCAAACTGTCCACTGTCTCAGATGAGTCTTCACACTGATGTGTCTTATTAAATTTTGATGAAGAAACTGGAAGGCCATCAGAGTAAGTTGGACCAATATGAGATATTTGTTGTAGTCTAGGAGATTGGTCTGGTGTTCTATAAATGGAAGAATTACTAGTACTGTTATTTTCAGGAGTGAGGTAAATATCACCACTTGAGTTAAACTCACTCGATTTGGACTGGTTGGAATCTGTATCAATTTTTCTAGAATCAACACTCATCAATGTCTGTTCGGAACCAGAGTCAGAGATTTGATTGAAATTGCTGAGAATGGAATTATCTGTCCTTATTCCCACAGATCTGAGATTATTAGAGTTCAAAGTTTTAGATTGTACAACCACAGTCTCATCAATCACAGAATCGATTTCATCATAGAAGTTACTTTGTGTAGTACCAAATTCTATATGTTGAACATCAAACCTGAGTTCCTCATTATCCTTTGAAAGCCTGTCAGACATCTGCGAATTTTCATCAGATGTATTAGTTTGAAGGTCTGATTCTATTTCTATTCCAATAGTTACGCTGTTTGTAGATATTGATGATGAATTAGATTTGATGGAGTTGTTACGTCTTGGAGATTTCTGCTCTTCAGAATCAGGCGAAAGGCTGCTGTCTGTAGTTGTATGTGTATGGAATCCAGAATCTTCTATTTCAGACTGGTCTGATTCAGTCAGATGAAAACTTGTATTAGTACCACCTAATAGTGTCCTTTGGTGTAGTTCATTCAATCCTCCAGTAAGTGCAGAGCATTTGGACATTGGATGAATAAATTGTATGATTTTTTGTGTGCCATCCACGTCAGGTCTTGTATGTAGTGAGCTGGAATGAGAAGACTGTCTGTTTGCAATTGAGTGCACTGGTGTTGATCCCAAGAATGCTTGACCTACTTTCAATGCTGCTTGTGTGGAGTCTATATCTGAATATCCAATGCTGCTGGAGTTTTGTGGATTTTCTAAGGAAGAAATTGTTCTATTGCATATGGTTTTGGAATTATTGTTGTTGCCTACTGAGTCAGTCACATCAGAGTTCAAAAATGCTCCTCCAATTCTCAAAGACTGTTGAGGAGAAAGTCCCTCATCTAGATCTTCATTGATGATCATTGAATCATTGTCATGTTGTCTTACTGATTCAACAAAATCAGAAGAAGATTTCAGTATACTTGATTCAGGAAGGAAAATTCTTAAACTTGCTGGTTTTGCCAGAACAGTAATTGAGGTATTGTCTTTTTTATAAACATCAAATTTGGAATCAAAAACAAGGCTTGGTCTGCGTTCAGTCAGTACATCCATTCTGGAATCAATTACAAGACTTGGTCTTCTGGTTTCTGTTTTCAGCTCTTCTTTGTCTCCTCTATCACTAATCATTACAGCTTTAACTCTTTTACCATAGCCATGAATATGAGAGCCATCTGCTCCATCTAATGCTGTAATTCTGGATTCAGTTTTCACCTTTTCTTCTTTGTGTTGGAAGGCCTCATACATTGTCAATGAATCTGAAGAAATTTCAATCTGGTCCTGAAGATGATAGTGCCTGTCAGCATGTACATCTAATACATCACTATTAGATAAATCTTTGTGCTGAAAAGTATCATCCATTGAACATGATTTTGTAGAAGACTTAGGATGATAGTAACTTTTAATTCCCATCTCCTCTTCTTTGTGTTGGTGAGCCTGATCCTGCAGGAAATCTTCTCTTTCTGCAGATGTTGATAAATTCTTTTGGTATAAGTTTGAGTGTTGATGTGCACCCATTGTAGATGATTCTAGTGAAACGGAAGACAGCAGATCTTGGCTAATTTCATTTTCAATTCTCCCTTCATTTAGCAGGTCATGCAGTCTTTCATTTTCCATGTCCTCTTCTTTGTTTTGGTCGACACTGCTTATTGTAACTTTTAAAGAGAGTGAAGACTGCTCCTGCAGTTGATGGTTATTTTCTGCAGATGGTGATACACTCTTCTTTGAAAAAACATCTATGTGTTGATAAGCATCACCTGTTGTAAATGATTTAGAAGAAATCAGGGACTGGTCTTGCAGATGATTGTAAATTTCTGCAGATGTAGCGGTATTCATTTTGGATAAATCAAAAGCAAGCTGTTTGTTAAATGTTGTTGACATGAGAGCATCTTGCGGAACCATATCAGCTGATTGATATAGAGAGTAGTTAATAAATTGTTCATTATCACTTGGGGAAAAGGAATCTTCAGTGGGTGATTCTTTTAGATTTGTATTTGATGGCAACAAGGTGGAAACAATTTCGTCACATAAATTATTGTCACTTTCACCTTTTTGTTTAGTTTTAGTACGCACATCAGATTGTGTTGTAGAAAGAGAGCTGTCAGTATTTTTTAGGGATGACTTTCTTGATAATCTGCTAAATGGTTCATCTAAACTTGTTTTTCTTGAATTGGCTTTATCTGAATTCAAAGGAATCTCAAACGGTCCTATATCAGGATGGTAAGATAAGGATGTGAGTTTACCATCGTTGACATTAATAGATGCATATCCATCGTCCAATTCTTCTTCAGGTGATCTTGGTGAAATTAAATTCATTCTGGTTGGTTCAGGAGAAAGTTCTATTTGTGACAGTCTAACTGCTGGACTTCTTTCTGTTGGCAATGCCGAATTAGGTTCATTATCAACTGAACTTCCATGAAGAACAACATATCCTGGATTGATTTGTAATGTTGATTTCTTTGGATCATCACCTTTTTGTTTAACATCATTCAATTGTTGTTCAGACAAAATGATTTCATCTTGCAAGTACAAAGCTTCACTGACTACATTTTGTGGTGAACTGAAAGAGTCTAGTGATCTGGGATACAACTGATCAACATCTGTGGATTTTGATACAAATTCTTGTAAACCAACTGTGCTGCATCCTGTTGATGATACTGATCTTTCAGATTCTGTTCGAGGAACTGCTTCTTCTGTAAGATAATCGACTTCATGAAGGACATCAACAGAGCTTGACACAAATGATTCAGGAGAATTAGTATCATCACAATCTGTGAGTGTACTGTTAAGGACATGTTCTACATCTATTGGTAGCAAATTTGATTCCTGGTGAACTGTATCTCTAGAAGATGGTTTAATGAATGACCTATCATCAGAATCAACCAATTGCTTATCTACTGAACTTTCTCTGCTCACAATATCTCCTATTACATCTTGTTCAGTTTGTAGACTCCTTCCTTCTTGGTAGAAATGAGATGAAACAATAGCATCAGCTGAATCTAGGTCTTGATTACCTCGATGGTATAGGATCTTTTCTCTCTCTCTTGCTTCATAATTATCTTTCTTTTGGATTGTTTTAGTTTCAGTAAGATTGATATTAATTGTGTTTGGTATAACTGTTGATACTGGAGGATTAGTTTCATCTCCTACAGAAAATGTCCTGTACTCTGTCTTCTCAACATTGTATAAAATTTTAGTTTCATCTTCATTAATAGTTACAAGATATTTTACGTTACCATCTGTATCTTGCTCTATTGATGATTGATGAAGCCTTTCAACTTTAGGTGGAGAAGAAGAGCGTATTTCTGCCATGTTTGTTTCAGCAGACCTTTGGCTTCCTGTCAGAGGGTCAGGGCTTTCTGACGATGAACTCATCCATATTTCTGGTTTAGATATAGAAAGGGTCCAAGAATGCCTTTTGGGAGACGTGATAGAAACATTGTCATTACTTTTTGTTTGCACACCACAAGTTGAATTTGAAACATCGGTATTTGGTTGAATTCCAGAATCCCCTGAACTCCATACATTAACAGGTGACATAGTCATGGTACCATCAGCTAATTTATAGTTCTCACTTGTATTTGATAATCTATTTAAAGCTGTATTCATCTGATTTATGGACTCATTGATTGTGGCTATTTCCAATTTTGTTGCTTCACTAGGTTCCTGCATGCCTCTTCTGTCAGTCGAAAATATCAAAGAATCATCAGAGAAACTACTGTTGGCAGAATGAGCATATTCATCAGATGTTATGTCACCCTTCCTATGTTCTTCACTATTACGAGGCTTCCTCTTCCGTTTACCGCTTTTACCAGAGTTTGGTCTTGAAGGAGGTTTCGAGTTGGAACCTAAAATAAAAGTAAAAAATTCCTTTAGTGTTTAAAACATAACAAACTGAATTATATAAGAAAGATTTATCAAATAGAATCAAGAATATAGCTCGCATTAAAGTTAGTAGAATTGCTATTCAATTATAACATATACTGTAAAAGAAAAGTTTGATTTTTATCTGTGTATTATTAATGTCTGTTTGCTCAATTCCAATTTTCCATCTGCATCTGTGGTTCATGTGAATCTATCTTGACAGACTTGAAAATTTAGGGATATATAAGATGTACATTTACCTGAAGCAAGAGAATCATCAGAAAATTCATCAGTATCATCAGATCGAAAATCTTTATGAGGTCTTTGACTTCGCCTTCTCTGTTTCTTATTAGTAGTGCTGTAATATATAATAATTTAACCAGTATTAAGGCTTTAGTTCATATCATCTGATCTCAGAATTATCATTGTCATCATACTCTCGAAATGTCAAGTTGATATTCTGTAACGTTCTTATCAAAATCATCAAACTCCATCATCAATTTTATACAATGGACAGCCAGAGAGTAAAACACATAAAACAGCTCCAATAACCACAATATTCAATAAACAGCAGTCCATTAAAACAAACAAACCATCTTTTTAACGTGAAACACGATCCATAACAATAACAACATCAGGAGATATAATTATTGACGAATTATCAATAACTAATTTAATTGCACACAAATATCACTATTGACATTTTACTTTAGAAACATAAAGCTTTCTATATGATCTAACACTGGACAGATACGGTAGTGTCTGGTTGTTACCATAGTAGTATTCCTTTTAATAACTTGTATTGATTATTAGACGTCTCATGGCCAAACCTTTATACTTATATATATCTATCTATAAAATGTTTCAGCATGTCAGCTTAAAATTCAAAATCATTCAGGAAGAAACACAATATTCTATTCTGACTAAATTGACCATTTATTCTTCTCTAAGGTTGAAATGAACTCTTTTATTAGTAAGTAATCTTACATCTATTTAACTATCTCACAAGAGTAATGTAATATTTGACTTTTAATGCTAGTAAATTAGCTACCAGTAGATAATAAAATTTATTTTCTCAAAATGATTAATGCAATACTGACTGATAAATTGAAAACCTTGCCTCCATTTAATTATATATTTTTTTTTATATGATGTAAAATGATACCACTTGAAACATTTTATCTGGTGACAAGTTGAATTGAAAATACTAAAACCAATTACAAATAGTAAAGATCTCTATCGAAAATAATGTTTGATCACAATCAAAGATCTGAGGCACTGGCCCAGATTAGACAATTACAGCAAATAAATTTCCAAGACATGTCCCTGAAATAAGAGCTAGCAGCCAAAATAAAGAAAAATTCACTCACCCTAATCCTATTTTAGCTAACCATATTTTAGCAACATGGTACACAAGGAAGGCTACAGTAATCATATTTTACTAATATCATTGTTTTTGATTGGAAATATTCGGACGTGTAATAAAAATGCAGGTATTTAATAACATAATGTTACAATGTACAGTGATATATTAATACTTGAAGCACCATTACATTCACATTATAGGATTGCATTTATTGATTTATTATAATCTGTTATCTTATTCCATTAATCTATATCCTTAATCCATGTTGATCTCATCACCATAATCTCCATAATTGGCTTATCCCACTGTGTAATGAAATTTTTCTTTGGGATTTCCGAAAAAGCAAGAGACTGGACTAATCTGAATGTCTTTAATTCCAAGGAGACATTGTCAACAAAAACCGGTATATAACAATCAATTATTACATTGACATAATCTGTTTTCCAACCTCTTGTGTTTAAGCTTGCTATTTAAGAGACACAAAAGTTCTCTGTTTTAACATTCTATTCTATGAAATCCAATCATGTCATGACATTCATTACATAGAGTAGTCCAGAACTTTAGTCTCTTCGAAATGATTTTGATGTGAAATCCCCATTTTGACGCAACACCTCCTTCAAGTTACAGAAAGACCTTACACAGCCAGTCATTGAGTTCTAATGTCAAACTGGGTATACAATAAAACTACAGGTAAATACAATAAGTATAAAGAAGCTAGAGTATATTAATATACAGGTAAGCTATAACAGGTTAATATAGTCTATAGTATATAACACTGTCAATATTACCTACAAACAATCAATATATATATAGCTTTATATATGACTACAATAGATAAGATTCACAACAAGCAATAACATGTCACAAAGATTATCTGATCTATTTTCTTAAGAATATTTTATTGCACTAACATAGAAAGTATTTTAAAATAATTGTTTTAGAAAATTCTTCTTGATAAGGACACAATAATTACTTTCATTTTCATTCTTATTTTAAATCCAGCAACATATTTCTAAAGCTATTTTAGATAGGACATGAAAACCCCCCCTAGAAAAAAATCATAAAAAAGAGAAATTTTTTATGCATTTTAACATGGCTATTTATGTGAATTCCAAATTGTTATTTAAAAAAACAAAATGATATTGTGTACCTCATAACTAAGAGATTGATTAAACTTTAAACAATATATATATTTCAATACGTCCTTTAACACTAAGACTGACAAAACTTCCATTTATAATGGACACAAAAAAATATCTTAATGGTCTTAACCTCGGTCAAATAACTGCAATCAACACATAGGCCAGCATTCCTGGTAATTTTATATACTATAAAAATCAATTATTTTACAGATAAGCATTACATAGAGTTACATTACAAGGATTAGAAATTTCTATAGATCAATAACTAAGTCTATTTAATCAAACACCTGACTGCAGTCTGACTATATAACCAAACTTCAATCAGTCTAGATTAAACTATATGATCAGAATAAGAACTATAAAATATTGATATCTTCTAGCATTTGATTGATCTCAAAGGATCTGCTAGTATTATTAACAAATATCCAATAGAAAGTAAGTGTTAACTAGTCCCACTTCAAAGACAAACTACAGTTTCATAAATCAAAGGACATTGTGGGAAAATTTTCTAAAGGCCTCAATCCTTCCGAAATTCTAAATAAGTCCAAAGGCAAGAGTCTACAAAATTATCCCTTTCATATCTCATGAACTGTTAATTCAAATGTTTCACAATTTTTGATGTGAATTATACATGATCTACATTAATCAAAACCAAAGGGCACAATGAAAATCACAGTAGTGAGCTCACACATCACTAACAAATATAGAAATGGTCATTCAAAATGCTGATAATGTATGAATGGAAAGCTACATTGGGAACAAGGCAAAAGTTAACAATTTGTAATACATCTTCTATCCAGAATTGTAACCTAAATGCTTTACTGTGTAGTACTTGATTTAAATATGTTAAAAAATTGAAAAATATGCTATGTGTGATCATTTTTTGGACAAGAAAGAAAGAATCATTCTCACTGCATTGTTTCTTAACAAAGGCAATTGCATGATAAATTTTCAGTATAAATCTTACCTGCTATGACTATTAGCTGAATTGTTTCTGGGTTCTTTAACACCGGTAATTAGTTGTGGAGTTTCCCCAATAGAATCTTGAGACATCTGACTTGATATTTCATCTTGTTTACCAAACACTTCACCAGGAGCTACGGTTCCAGAAAAGTGGGGAAGTGGTTGTAGTCCAGGACGATCCATTCTTAAAGAAGAAGATAGGGCATGGTTACCAGACATGTTGATTCTCAGTGAACTATGAAGGGGTGAATTTAATGAATCAGGAACTTGATTAAGATCATCATTGATCATGCTTGCTGTGGACCTCATAACAACATTATCACCATCATCAGCTAAAGAATCATCAGAGTATTCTGTTCCAGTGTTACTCTTATCCTTTCCTCTAGACACATCAGAGAGAGCTCCTTCTTCTATTTCATCATTGTTGGCTTTTATAATTCTTCCAGTGTTTACATCTAACTTAACATTAGACTTGAGGTAAGATTTCTGAAATCCAGTTTCTATAAATGTTACACCATCTTTGGGCAAAGAATCTTGGAAAGATGTATCTACAGTACTAGTGGTTCCATCTTCAGGGTCCATTACATCTTGTCTAATCTGTTGATGATTGACTTCACCATCTGGTTCTAGAAATGGAGTGTAAACTGTCCCTGTTGTTAAAAATGGTACCATTTTGGTTTGTTCATTAATTATATCATCTACTGAGGTTTGATTCACATCAGAACTAGCCATTGAGCCAATACTTTCATTGGTGACTGATGACTTAACTGATTCTTCAATTCCAGGCTTAAGAACAACCATATCAGTGGAGGAATTCTTGTTTGTTTTTAACTTCACAACAAATACTATTTCAGGATTATCTTTCATAGCCTCATTCCTTGAGACAGAGCCGACTTGGTTGTTATCAGTAGGATTTGATGTTACAGGTCCTGATGAAATATGATGGTCAATAAGATGTTCTTTATTTATATGGTCAGATAAAGGTACAGCTGAATCTTGCTCACTCTCTGACACACTTTTATCAGAGGATATGTCCAGGACTTGAGTTTGTATTTCATTACTGTCATCAGCACATTGAGTTGGAAGATAATGGAGCAAAGAATGCTGTTTGTTAAATATATTACTGATGTTTTCATTGTCTGATGGTGTTGATGTTTCAGTAGACAAGTCAAGGACTTGGCACTGAAGCTCTGTTTCTATTTTGAAAGCATCAGATTTAGTTGGACTCTCTGTATGTCTGCTTGGAGAATTTGAAAGAAGATGTAAATCCATGTTGAGCAAACCAGTACCATTTGGTGATGATGCAGAATAGTCAATTGATTCATCAGGATTAGGATTTGACAGTGAAGATGGTACACTGTCAAGTTTTGTGTCTGATGCGGTACCAGCAGGCCTAGCTGGAGTTTTTAATCTCTCCATATTTCTGCTCTGAGAATTTGCAGGAAGTGATTGGGAATCCATGGTTAGCAAACCAGTATCAGTTGGAGATGATGCTGGTCTTTCAACTGAATCTTCAAGAGCATGATTTGATGGTGATGTTGTTACTTTACTTTTAACCTTGTACCTAACTCTGATTGGTGTAGTTGGTAATGATGAATCCATACCAGATTGGATTGATGGCAATGATTGAGGAAGAGTTGTATGTGGTAGTTGATGGTTAGGTGATGTTGGTGAAACATTGAATGGCTGGTGTTGTGATAATGAACGTGAAGAAGAATATGCCGAGGTGTTGACACAGTCTACATATGAAGGTAAATCATTGTGTGAAGTATTGTATTGTACAGGAAGACACTGTTTCTTTGGATTAGCTGAGAATGATTTGGAGTAATTTGCATCTTCGGAATCAGAATCACTTAATTTTTGTCTTTTAGCACAATCAGTAATGTCATAAGGCACAGGTATTTCTTTGGAAAAGTCCGGGTTTAATACAGTGTATTCAGGAGTTACTCTACCTCTTACAGTGGAAGTTATTTCTGAATGTGGATAATTGGTTTCTGAAACAAGCATATAGTTCTCCTTCCCTGAAGGTTCATCCATTTTCGGAGATTCCAATGAGTCCATATGTTCTTCAGAGTCACAAAGCGAATCTTCACTCATATTTTCATCAGAATCAGACAAAGATTCATTAATATTGTGGTCTGAAATATTTTGTCTTATGACTGTGTCAATACTTTCTATAGAATCTTCAAGCATGTTAGCATTGTTACTGAGAAGCACATAATTTTCTACACCGTTTGAGATCCACATGTCTTTAGCCCATAATCCCTCATATTTAGAATCTGTATCAGATCGAAAGCTGTCCTCAAAGTTGATATCAGCATCATTCCTTGGAGTTTTCTCAACAATCTGTTCCTCACCATCTAGACTATCTGGAATTGATACTGAATCATCCAATGTTGCTGACAATTCATTTTCATTTACACCAACACAAACAGATAACTTATTATTGGTATCACTATCACTTGTATCTAGATCAAGATCTGTTTGTGTTGATTCTGATAAATAGTGTTCTTGGTCATTGCCTCCAATTCCTACACCTTGATAGGACAAACGTCTCTTTTCATTTCTAGAAGTTGAAATTTCACTTTCAGAACTGTCTGAATAATGTGCATGATTTTTTAGTCCTTGTTCCTTAGCATATTGGTCCCATGCATGTTCAAAATTTCCATCTATAGGCATGGAATGGGATCGTTCTTCATCAAGATATGTTCGTTTATTTCTTCTTCTAACCTTAGCAACAGCTAATGGAATGTTTGGTTCAGAATGCATGGATTCAGCTTCTGATTCAGCCTCAAGAGATGCTTCTGGTACACTGGCAAGGTTTGACATACTAGCAATTTGTCTGATGAGGGATTTGGAACGAACTAAACCTGGCCTAGCAAGACTGGAATCAGAGCCTCCAAATTTCTTTATCTTAAGAGGATCATTGATAATTGGCTTTGGAGATCTGTGAATAATTTTAGG